GCCTTTGATTTATTTATTTTCTTTTTCAGAAATTAGTTAACTTTTCTCTAGCCAGTAAGAGGAGCTCATCAGTGTAAATTTCCTTAATTCCCCTCACACTCTGATTCATCAGCTATCCTAATGCGTACTTGGTGCCTGGCTGTGTGCAAGGAATTGCATGAAAGAGATGAATAGGACAGGCAAGATCCAGGCCCTCCAGGAGTAAGTGTATGGCCTAGCAGGAAAGATGGCCTTGATTGGCACATAGATACACAGGGATGAGCAATGTTGGAGGGCAAGTGTAGGAAGCTATGAACTTGCCTGCATTCCTGCATGACCTGCTCTCCTTCTCAGTTTTGGTGTCCTCAGACACGTTCTTGCTTAAACCACTCTCAGCTTTCATTTTATTTTAAGGTGACTGCTTGAAGTTTGTCCCAAGAGAAAAAAGTTTCATTTTCTTTTTTCCCCTCGGTATCTGTGATGCAATTTCTTATTTGTTACATTTTCTCCTACTTGTATATCCAAAGGGATGGTGTTTTTCTGAACGTTCACTATCCTGAGGTCTTGTTCACATCTGCACACATTCACTCTCCATCGTGTAGCAGTTAACCACCCCTGGGAGTCGGAACACTGGATTCGATCTTTATTTTGCTATCTTTGAAATATAAGTGATGACACTGGTCTGTCTTATTCCATTCCCTTTGCTTTTCTGCTTGATTAGATTTTTAAGTTTTTTAGTGTGTGTGGTCTTCTGTATTCTTTCCCTCTCTCATGCTATTCTCCATCAATTTTCCTAGAGCATCTACTCTGGATTAGTGTCACATGTTTTATTTATTACAAGAATAAACTTTATAGCCATAATTGTGAACAGAATTGTGGTCATGGTGTCCATAGATTAACAGTACCCAAAGTCTTGCAATATGAAACAGCTATCCCTTTTCATTCAAAAATTACTGAATTCCTGTTTATTCTGGGTTAAATACTGGAAAATTACACATTACCAGGAAACTCCCTCTACTTAGGTGAGTTCATTCATTAGGCCTACTAAATGCCGGAAGCCAGGGATGCTAAGAGGAAGGACACAATCCTTGCCTTAAGGAAGTTCACAGTCCAGGAAGGGAGATATCTCAATGCAAGTATGATATATTATAAAGGCTTTAATAGATGCAGATCCTGAATTCAATGGGAAAGAATGGTCAGTTCTATTTTAGTGAGGGGTAGGAATCAAAGGAGAGCAGAAAAGGCCTGATAGGGCTCAAAGCTGAGCCTGAAAAGTAGATTAGGTGTCTGACTGTCCAAGGGTTAAGGGAGTTTCTGGGGAAGCAGAGACACAGAAGTGATAAAGTGTGGTATGTTCAGGCTATTGCAGTTCAAATAATCTGGAGCACAGTGTATGGAGTGAAGGATGCTCAATGATTGAAGCAGAGGCAGCCTCATGGAGGTCCTCATATTGCATCCTGAGCAGCTATGCAGGTATCTGATATACTGACGGCGAGGCGGGAGGCCGAGCAAGCAGGAAAGAGGGTGAAGGGTTTTAAGTAGGGTGTTGGCATAAATTGATTTGTATTTGATCAGATCATCCCACAGGAAGCGTTTCTGTGAACTGGAGGCCGTTAGAGCAGCTGTCATCTGCTGTGTCATAACACATTGTGACATCCCTTGAAACTCATTTTAAAAGATAATTTGCATATGTTGCTGGGTTTAATTTCCTGGTTTTAAAAGAACTTTTACGTCCATGTTAATAGCTGAGTTTGGTCTATGATTTTCTTTTCTTAGATTGCTCTTGTTCAGTTTTAATAGCAAGGTAAGACTACCTGTCGATGACTTAGATTGATTTTATTCTCTTTCTAGAGTCTAGGATGGTTGTGTAGCAGAAAATTCTGTCTGTTCCTTGAAGGTTTGATTAAACTCACTTAGAAAACCATCTAGGCTCAGAGTCTTTAATTTTGAGGATGGGGAAAGTTTTTGTCTACTAATTCTACTACTTTAATGGATACTGGATTATTCCAATATTCTATCTTTTCCTTGATATAATTTTATAATTTATGCATTTTTGTAAAATTGTCCAGTTAATAGCAACCTTGTTCCTATTCAAAGTTGCCTGCATAAAGAAGAGCAAGAACCTTTTGGGGGAGATAGAAATATTCTGTATCTTATTTGTAGAGGGGGATAGACAGATTACACATCCCTCAAAATTTACCAGATTGTGTATTGTAAACCAACACAGTTCATAGTAAATAAATTATACCTCGTAAAGTTGATTAACATTTATCTGCAGAAAATTATACATGGTATTTTTTTGTGATCTTTAAAAATTCTCTGCTGTATCTTTAGATATTTTCTCCCTTTTTTGTCTTTAATATTGTTTATTTGGGTAATCTCTCTTTCTTCTTCATGAATCTTGTTAAAAGTTTGTCCATTTCCTTATCTTTTAAATAATGAGCTCTCTGGGAAGAACCCTCAGCATCCTTGCTTTCTTGATTGTTCTGCCACAGGGCTGTGCAGTGTCACCCCACATACACCCCGCCGTTTTGTGTGGGTAAGTGAGAGCATCTGAGAGGTTAGGTGACCAGAGGAGGGGACACCGGGGGCAGAAGTCAGAGTTGACAGGATGAGATTTCTTCTTTGAAGGTGCCAGCAGATCAGCCTCAGGGGCTGTGGAGGCAGTTTCCTCTGTGTGAATTGATGTGGCCGAAATATCATTTGGTGTCTTTGAGAACTCCCCTCAGAGAATGTGAAGAGGGCTTAGCTGCCAATGTGGACACTCACCACCCTTTAGGAACTGGGTTCTGTCACTTTTGTATTCAGGGTCATATATTGGCTCTTGATTCATGACCCTTACCCAACCGGCAGACTGATGAAAATGGACAGCAGAATCTGAAAATAATACAGTTTCAGTTAACTACTAAAATAGTTCATATATTTTACTATCTTGGAATTCATATATTTGTTTTGCCAACTAAATATATTTGACTAGTTACTTAATGCAATTTTAATTTTTCTTTTTATTTGTTAAAAAAAGTAGTTTTCTGGATCTGAGGGAGCTAATTATACATAATTGTTTAATGTAAAAACTTCATTGCTTTTGATTTTTCTTCTAGTAATCAAGTGCATTCTAGAAGAAAATATAATATCTGAAATGGACTATTTTATAATGCAGTGCTTATATCTTAATACTAAATATGAGCTGAGGAAGTAATATCCCTATTAAAAGTATATTCAGAGATGCTACTCAGTTGTCTAGGGGCTTATTCAAAATAATCAGGTGCCGTGCGACAGCTGTACCGAAAGTGTCGTCGAATATCATTCTTTATCCGTATAAGATAGTTCTGTGTTTTTGAAAACTTGAGAGGAAAACTTACCTTGCGGGGGGTAGGACTTGGTTACTTACAGTCTTACGAAATAGCCTGATGGGAAATCAGTTGTGCTTTTACTGGACAGTGCTGGGCATCAGCAACCATTATTTATCTTAAATTTGAATTAGACCTCCTGGAATTGAAAAAGAAAAAACGGTGCAAACTTGAGTAATCCTTTATCTTGCTTCTTTGTGCTATTTTTCTTTTTTGTGTGTTTGAGGTATGTTTTGTTTTAATCTTGGGGAAAATTTAGAAACCCAAGACTGAAAGCTATTGTATAGTTTGCCAAAACTGCCATAACAAAGTCCCACACACTGAGTGACTTAAACAACAGGCGTTTATTTTCTCAGTTCTGGAGGCTGGAAGTCCAAGAGCAAGATGCCTTCAGGGTTATTTCTTCCGAGGCCTCTCTCTCTGCCTTATAGATGGTCATCTTCTCCCTTTGTCTTCCTGTGTTGTATTAGTCAGGGTTCTCCAGATAAACTGAACCACTGAGAGAGAGATTGAGAGATTTATTTTAAGGAATTGGCTTGCACAGTTATGGAGACTTTGGAAATCTAGAATCTGCTGGGTAGGCGCAGGCTGGAGACTCAGGGAAGAGTCCGAAGGCAGTCTCCTGGCAGAATTCCTTCTCTCTCGGAGGTCAGTCTTTGTTCTATTAAGGCCTTCAGCTGATTGGCTGAGGCCCACTCACACCATGAGGGTGATCTGCCTTACTTGAAGTCCATAAATCTCAATGTTAATCTCATCCAAAGATCATCTTTGCAGAAATATCCAGAATGATGTTTGATCAAATATCTCGGCACCATGGCCCAGCCAAATTGACACATAAAATTAACCATCATGTGTGGTCTTCCCTCCATACCTGTTTGTGTGCAAATTTCCTCTTATAAGGACACCAAGCATAATGGATCAGGGCCAAATACAGTCACATTCTGAGGTCTTGGGGGTTAAGACTTGAACATATGACATTTGAGAGAACACAGTTCAGCCCGTAGCACACATTAATGTAAAAGTAAGCAGAAATAGAAAGACAACTCAAAGGGAAAAACAGTCCTCCTGTACTGAAAATGTGTGATTTCTTCTGACCTTAGGATAAACCATGTTTGTGAATCCTCAGAAAAACCAGTTAACTAGAATGAGAAGTAACTTTTTTATATACATTCACATTTATACAACCTAGAAGTCAATTTTGTTTTTCTTTGCCAAGGATATTTATATTATTACGGTAATTAGAGATTAGATTTTTAAAAATTTCTTACTCTAGTTATATCTGAATTTCTACTTGTTTTCATTTTGTGTTTTTAAATTTCAAATTAGAGCACAACATGTAAGATGTTTTTGTCTTGAGTTATGAACTAATTTGAAGTTGCTATTAAAAACAGAGCCATGTTTCTGCTTTTTTTCTGACAATATAAGAAATAAACAATGGGAAAATTACCAATAAAAATGAAAAGCAAAATTAACAAGAGAATATAAAATAAGAGAATCAGAAAGCACATCTTCAACAGTTCTCTCAAATCATAAATGTAATCTTGCAATGTGTTCTCTCTTCCTTTGATATCAGTATCTTATGTCACTTATATTTCTCAAATCTGTTTAAAGGGTAAAATGCTTCCGTATCTCTAATACTGAAAAAATGCTTCTGTTATCTCTTTTTTGCAGATAACAAAGAGATTTTCCTTTCCAAAGCAATTCACAAGTCCTTCATAGAGGTTAATGAAGAAGGCTCAGAAGCTGCTGCCGCCTCAGGTGCCAAGTTATTGTTTTCTAGAATATTCTAACCTTTTCTAGATTTGTATTTTTGAAGCAATCTTGGGTGAGGGGTGAGGGTCATTTTTAGAACCAAGCCAAAAAGACTGCCTCTGCTCTAACTTAGAAGTCAAGCTAATCCTGAACCAGCTAGAATTTTCTAAATAGGACATGAAGTATGCGCTCGCTCCAGTGCACCTATGCAGAGTAACTCCCATCTCTAATGAGAGGCAGGAGGACGTTGGCAGCTCTGTAGAATAGATTTTCCTGCTGTGCTGCCTGTTTAAATATTTTAAATATTTCCCTGCTGCCCGTTTAAACATTTTTCTTCCTACCTAATTAATTGTCTAAGTTAGTTCTTAATTTTGTCAGTGAAAAGTTTTGATTTTTTAAAAGCACATACATAAACAAGAGTATATGATAGCAGGTAATAAACAATTTTAGCTACATAATAATATTAATAAAATAAAAATTTTAAATAAATAATTTTAAAATTTTGACTTAAATCACGTGTCCAAAGCAAAATGGTAAATGTCCTTGATTATTTTGAACTTTCTGACTTCCCTCCTTAAGTGAGAATAATTTTCCCATTGCCTTTTTTTCCACTGATTTGTTCCCATGTCATGTTCAACAGCTATCATCAAATTTCAGTTGGATTTTTTCGCTCCTCTGGTAAAATGTAACATATCATATTTGCACACATTATTTTTAACTTATGCAAACATTTGTCCATTAAAAACATATCAACAGTTAAAACTGTTTTCAGGAGGAAATAGAAAACGCAGTGGTCTCAGGCATCGAGGAAGCTTAAAATCTTACTTAATTTAATCTTGACCTTTTCCTGACAATGAATCACCCTGCAGCAAGTATGAAACCATGATCCCTTAATGAGAATCTCAGTTTCCCAGCAGTGGGAAACACCATTGCAGCTCTCACTGCTGTGTCTGCCCTTTATTCACTGCTGTTCTGACCACTTACTAGGAGCCTGGTGACTTGCTATGTAAAAATCCTCATTTCAGACAAGAGAAATAATGATATGAGAATATAAAGAAACTCTCTCAGTTTTTCATATGGGATTTTTTTTCTCCTCCCCCTTCACTTAACTCAAAGGTCGTTTTACTAAAGCCATAAGTATTGATCTGAGACTGGGAATAAAAATTTTGTAACAGGCAGAATAAATTGTCCTGTTCCCTTTGTTGGGGTGGAGGGAGGAAGCTGTGTGTTTGTGTGTGTGTGTGTGAGTGTGTGTGTGGGCGCGCATGCTTGTTTTTCTAAAGATCAAGTAGAAATGTTAACACCTTTAGGATTTTTCTCTCTTTAAGTCTTTAAAATCTCGTTTCCTGTAAACCGTTGCCTTTGCATTAAGCATAGACGCTTTGGAGAAATTGCTCATTAGTCCCTGCACATTCACAGACATGTAATTACTTTCTCTCTGCACTGTAGGAATGATTGCAATTAGTAGGATGGCTGTGCTGTATCCTCAAGTTATTGTGGACCATCCATTTTTCTTTCTTATCAGGAACAGGAGAATAGGTAAGTCTGTTATGAGAACAGAATCTTTTATTTAATAGGCCAAAAAGCAACAATTTTTTAAAGTTGAGAACGTTTGTTTCCACATTATTTATCAGATAATTTCTAATGTTCGATTGATTTTTAAATGAAAATAATTTATTTATATCTTCATTTTTAGAACATTGCTAATTGTAAGCAAGAAGGAAAATAAATATCCTGTTCTTTTGTTCACCTCCTCTTTTGTTCACTTCCAACCCAATGTAGGTACAATCCTGTTCATGGGACGAGTCATGCATCCTGAAACAATGAACACAAGTGGACATGATTTTGAGGAACTTTAAGTCATTTCATTTGAACAACAAGGAAAATAGTAACTAAGCACATTATGTTTGCAACTGGTATATATTTAAGATTTGTGTTTTACGGTATATCTTAAGATAGTATTTAAAATAGCTCCAGATAAAAACAATGTACGTTAATTATAAGCCAACTTGTCAAGGAATGTTATCAGTATTTATTGAGGTAATAGTCTTGTCACGTCGTTGTGTTTGTTGTGCTGGTATTTAAAATAAAAATACATATGGAACATGTAAACACCTCTGTTTTTCATTTTAGAAGTTGTAGTATAAGATATCTCCAGGTAAAATTTGGAAACAGTGATGTTTCTGAGCATCTCAAATCTTTCATAATCATGCAGAATCAAAACACCAAAGTGAATTAGCATTATACACATATATAACAAGCAACAGCAAGCGAGAAGAAGACAAATCTCAAGTGAGGTGAAGAATTTTGTGTACTCCGCAAAAATTATAATTGTTATTTCTCTAAAAATGACGAATAGTGTAGATAAAAGAATACAGACTGAACATCTTATGTATGGCTCCATGACAAAACTTGTTAGAAAGAAGATAGGGCTATGCAAACCCATAGATTATAGCTATAATAAGTTGTTTACTGTGTCTTTAAAAATCTGCTTGTCTTCATAAACTTGATGTAGATTGCAAGCCTGGAATATCACCATGTTTTGCTGCTGCAAGTAAAATCCAGACTACAGCAAAGTTCCCAAAAGTCCCAAAATAAGCCATATGAGCAAATTAATAATGAAAATATACCCTTTGGTATGTCACCAGAGAATTAACTAGAAAAACCACACTAGTACAGATACTGGAAACTGGCAGATCACGGACTGAATGCTGCCCACAGAGGTGTTCTTGTTTGTTCTGTGTGGGAGGTTTTACGTTTTGAACTCGAATGTGTGTAATTGGGGTATCACCTTCCTTGTTTCTCCCGTTGGATGCCCGATGACTTCTGGATGCATTTGCGTTTGAAACCTCTGGAGAGTACTTTGCAGAATAAGTACTTTGCAGAATACATTATTCTTATTTTCTAGCACAAGAAGTAATCGATTCCAATGGGGGCAGGGTCAACTTTTTAAGGTCTCCAGTAAATTACCTTGCTATCCTTTGGCTGAAATAATGGTATTCCTTTTGGAGGGGGGAGGAAAAAAGGAAGAATGATTTCATTATGTTTCTTGGATGTAATCAGGCCCATTTAAGGCCAAACTTTTGATTCTACATTTAACAGTTTCAGAAAAAGTTTGAAACGTTTCAAAATTTAACGAAAGCAGTTTGCATGACTGTGACTTCTGACTGTCTTATTTATGTGTTAGGTATTTTGCTATGGTTTGGAGCTGTTAACAAGAATTGATATTATCATTAACTTTAGTTCTGTTCAAAGGAGTAGTGGTTTGGGGAAACCAGGCCAGATCCTAGACCTACTGCATTCTAAACTTTGAGGAAAAACTTGAAAATCTGCACTTTTTAATAAGTTCCCTTGGTGATTTTGTTACACACTAATCTTGATTATTGCTGAAATAAAGAATACATGTGGAATACTTGTATACTCCTTGTTTAGATATGGTTAATTTATAGAAAATTAGATCAATCAACAAAGTATCCTAAATCAGTGCTTCTCAAACTTTCTGTGTAATGTAATCACCTGGGGATCTTATTGAAACTGCAGATTCCCATTTAGTAGGTCTGGGTGGGACCTGAGATTCTGCATCTCTACCAGTCTCCAAGGTGATGCCATTGCTGTTGGTCCATGGACTCAGGTTGATAGCAAAACTCTACTTAACATAAGGTTTGCATGTTTGATATTTTTATGCATGGAAACAGAAAAACTGCATAATTCGTACAAGTTGGAGAGACTTGGGAGATGGAGTGGTAGTCTACATTAAAAATGCAATGCACTGGGCCAGCCCCGTATCCTAGTGTGTTAAGTTCAGCACATTCCACTTCGGTGGCCCAGGTTTGGTTCTTCATCATGGACCTACACAACTTGTTGGTGGCCATGTTGTGGCAGCGACCCACATACAAAACAGAGGAAGACTGGCACAGTTGTTAGTTCAGGGCAAATCTTCCTCAGCAAAAAAATAAATAAATAAAATAAAATAAAATGCAAATAGATTTTTTAAAAAATGCAATGCACTTATACAGAAAGAGAAAAAAAATCATTTTACTTTAAAGCTTTTGTTTTGATTACGTACTATGAAAAAATGCGGACTTCCTCTACATATTAGAACACTTGAAATATATTCTTTAAAAATATAGAGACATTTATAGGCATGCCCACAAAAGAATTTATGAATATCCAAGGACATAATACTTAACACTGAATCTTTTACAGGTTATATTTTCAGAAGACTTATACTTTATTCTATAAAGCTGAGGTTATTGTAGGACAGTGCACTAGTTTTCATTTATAATGTACACAGATCAGGCTAACTGGTGTGGATTCAGTATTAATGTTCTGAGTTTGCGATATTCCTCATTACTGTATCACTACTTGGTAAGCAGTACATATATTGCTATATCTGTATGTCCATCAGTCAACTAAATGGGTTACCTATAAGGAAGAGTAAATGTCATTAGGCAACCATATGGGTTTTATAAAGCCAGAATGCAATTTTTATTAGCTGGTATAAGATTAAAGTCTACCGTTCAGAATGTTTACCTTAAAATATTTCAATACAATTTAGATGTCCCTTAAAGGAAAATGGATTCTGCCTTGTTACTAGCATGTTTGTGGAGTGCTTAAAAATAGAATACTTGATAGTATCGAGTTTTTCCTATTGTTTGACGTTGTCTATAATTGCTTCAATATTTTCCTTTCTATTGAAAAAGTGACATTTTATTTGTTTAGTTCTATTTCCTTTAAAATGTATAAATTGCTACACACCAACACACAATATGTACAGCTTATGGAAACTTCTTTCTCTTTGAACATATTTTTGGGGAAGAAATCAATAATTATACATCTTTTGCTTTCCTTTTAAATCTTTTTTTTCCAGCTTTATTGAAGTATAATTGACAAATAAAATTGTATATATTTAAAATGTACAATGTGATGATTTGATATACTTATACATTGTGAAATGATTACCATAATCAGTTTGATCAACAAATCCGCTACGTCACATAGTTACTTTTCGGGTTTATGCTGAGAACACTTAAGATTTACTCTCTTAGTGAATTTTAAGCGTAAAATATGGTATTCTTAACTACAGTTACCATGCTGTACATTAGATCCCCAGAATTTATTCATCTTATAACTGAAAATTTGTACCATTTGACCAACATCCTCTCATTTCCCCCACCTCCAGCCTCTGGCAACCACCATTCTACTCCCTATTTCAATGAGTTCTACTTTTTTTAGATTCCAAATTATGAGTGAGATCATACAATGTTTGTCTTTTTCAGTCTGGGTTATTCCACTTAGCATAATGTGCTCCAGATTCATTCATGTTGTCACAAATGGCAAGATTTCCGTCTTTTTTTATGGTTGAATAACATTCCTTGTGTATACATATATATACATATATTGCACTGGATTATGTATATTACATTTTCTTTATCCATTCCTACATCAATGGCTACTGAGGTTGTTCCTATATCTTGGCTATTATGAATAATGCTGCAATACACATGGGATTGCAGAGATCTCTTCAAGATGCTGATTTCTTGTCCTTTGAATATGTATTTTAGATATTAACTCCTTATCATATATATGACTTGCAAATATTTCCTCCCATTGTGTAGGTTGCCTTTTCATTTTGTTGACGGTTTCCTTTGCTATGCAAAGCTTTTAGTTTGATGTAGTCCCACGTGTTATTTTTGCTTTTGTTGCCTGTGCTTTTGGTGTCATATCCAAAGAATTATTGCCAAGCCCAACATCAAGAAGCTTTTTCCATATGCTTTCTTCTAGGAGTGCAAATGTAGAGAATGTGATACCTCGCCCAGCCACCTCGTTTCATGTCTGCCAACAAAGTTATTCTTGAGGGAACATTGAAGCCTCTACTTGCACATAAAAATAGCTTATGGAAAAATAATTGTGTCTTATGAAAACGAGGAGAGAGATTCCACAGAAGAATCAATTTAATTTTTTTATTGACTATTTTGGTTCAAAATATAAGAAGATAGTTTAACATTAATGAGCTAAAAGTTAAAGGTGTATTGTGTTCATACTGGTTTCTGATTTTAGTGAGACAAAGTTTCACAAATTTTTTAAAAGGATATTTCATTAAGGAAAATAAAACCAAAGCAAACAAAACACATACTTTCCTTGTCCAAATTCACTCTTTACTAAATATTAAGTATAGATGAACTTTTTGTCTGTTTGAAAATTGGGGAGTTTTTTTTTATTTGGGGAAAAATAAAGTGGTTATTTGTGACATATGACATGTTCCAGAAAATGTTTCTTCAGCAGGGAACACAGCTTCCAGCTGATGCAGCATTTTTTTTCTCTCCCTCAAATAAGAGACATTGTTTTATCTTTCTCCTTTTCTGAAAGTTTTGTGATAATTCACAAACATATAAATCTGACATTCGTTCACACAGTTGCTCTTTGCTCTGTCTGTTATTCAAGGAAACTGCTGATGGAGAGATTATCTTTTTCCATATGATTGAGTGACCCCCTCTTCTGGCATTTTCTGCTTCAATATTTATAAGCAGATACCTATGGAAAAAACATGGGCTGTGGAATGAGAGAGAACCAACTTTAAACACCAGGTCTGCCACTTACTAGCTGTCTGTCCTCGGAACCAGTTGTTTAATTTTCACCTATATAGTCAAATAATAACATCTACTTCATAGGATTATATTAAGGATTAAATGATAGAATGTGTATGAAGAATATAATAAGTACTTGACAAATAGCAGTCACTCATGAAAGGCTAGCTATTAGCGTCATTACGATACTTCAGCTCTTCTAAGGCACATCACTTTTCTCATTTTAACATTTGTGGAAATGGAGCCATCGGTGGTGTCTTACAATTGCTGGTAAAGTAGCAGTCATGACTGCATGGCATGGCCTGTGCATGTGGGAATCCTGTTGCATGGTGATTGTCTGTAATGCCTTTTCTTCTCAGTCAACAACATTTGAGAAAGAACCATAATGACTATCTGAGGAAGCATTGTAAATCCTGGTTATTGTCTAAAAACCTTTCACTGATTTTTCTGTAAGATAAATTGCCAGTTTCAAAACTTGCAGAATAGGTGTCAATAGCTTAAAAGAAAGTCCTAGAGACAGAAGTT